AATTCTCGAATTAAATTCTTAAGTTAAAGTTTTGTGCTTTCCACTAAAACTATAGTTAATTATTTTATTAAGTCTACGATCTACGGGTAAAGTAAAGTTAATCCAGTGACGTTTCGATTCATGCGGGTCGGAGCGTTACAATTATCATCCAAAGCGTGGGCTCTTGAATATCACACATTTGGCTTTCGCAGATGATTTGACCTATTCTCCAGGGGTGATGTTATTTCGGTGCGCATATTAATGCATTGCTTGTCTAAGTTCAGTAATTGCTCGGGATTAATGGTTAATGTGAATAAATCCAATCTATATACAACAGGCATTCATGGGGTAGATTTGGAGGTAATTCAGGATGTTGTGGGCATGCCTAAGGGGACCATGCCGTTTAGATATTTAGGGATACCACTTGAGGCCGAAAAATTGAAAGTTAATCATTTTGCACCATTTTTGGATAAGATTACGGCATACATTAACACATGGACACGTATTTCATTGTCGTACGCCGGAAGGGCCGAATTGGTGAGAGCCGTCTTGCTAGGAGTGGAATGTTTTTGGTTATCTATATTTCCAATTCCGGCTGTGGTTACATTGAGAATTACATGGCATTGTAGGAACTTCCTTTGGAATTCCAAAAAGCCAGTAGTTGCTTGGGCGGATTGTGTCTTCCCAAAAGTGAAGGAGGCTCGGGATTTCGAGACATCAAGAGTTAGAATAACGCATTGCTTGCAAAATCTCTTTGGAACATACATGATAAGGACACTCTTTGGGTCCGTTGGGTCAATCATGTGTACTTACAAGGGGCTTCAATTTGGGAGTGGACACCTAGGAGAGATGACTCTCCATTGCTTAAGAAACTACTGATCATTCGGGACCTGTTCATGCAAAATGAGGGAAGCGAACAGGTTTCCATCCAGCTATTGGCGAAATGGAAGACTGGGGACAACCTTAAAATGCCACAATCTTATGATTATTTTCGCCCGTAGGGATCCACAAAAACTCGGGCAGCGGATGTGTGGAAGGGATTCATCACACCGAAACACTCTTTCATCCTTTGGTTGAGTGCCCAATCAAAGCTACTTACCAAGGATAAATTACAGCACTTGGAGATTGATAGAAACTGCATCTTTTGTGGGCAGATGGAGGAAACCAGCTAGCACTTGTTTTTCGCGTGTCCGTTCAATGCGTCATTGTGGCGACAGATCCGAAAGTGGATGGGTATTACACGCTCAATGTCTACGTTAGCAAGCTCATTAAAGTGGATTAAAAAAGAGGCTCAATGGACTTCTTGGCAAAGTAAAGCCTAGATAATCGCACTAGCTAGCACCGTCTACAGCATTTGGATGGCTAGAAATAAACAGACATTTGAAGATCTTAGGCCATGCTCCGATAGTACTGTGAGACAGATCAAAACACATGTAAACATTGTATCCTAATGTTTTGATCCATTTCGAGTCCCTAGCTTTGGGTCGATGGATCGTATCGTTGGTACATCTTATAATTTAGTAGGGATTTTGTAAGCCCGGGTATGCCCGATAAAAAGAAAATAGTTCTCTTAATCCAGTCAGAAGAGATAAATAAAATTTAAAAGATGATTTTATTCCATTGCAAACAAACTATAGCTAAATAATTTCCCAATGAAATCCATGATGTCTTCCCACAATGTGCACTGTGGCATCATAGAGTGGTTATGTCAACTTAATAATATCGCAGAAGAAAAAATAGAGCTAATATCGTATGTTTCCAGAAACCAAATAAAATGAAAAAAACAATTACACGTACACTCAGTTTTCATACCTTTATAAGGCTTCGATCAACAGTGAGGCGATTTAATGTAAGCGTTCCAGTTTTATCACTACATCGGACATCCATTCCAGCCATTTCTTCAATAGCTGTCATCCTCTTTGTTTTAGCACCCTGAAGAATCTAAATTTAATTATCTGAAGAAAGCAAATAATTATCGATTCTTTTCTTTTTTATTTGATTTCCTGAAGTTAGAAACAAATTCTCTATATCTTTAATTTGCTTTTATATCATGGTATAGAGTAGATTGTCTTAGAAGACAATGCAAGATAATCTGATTAGCTTCTGTTTCTCACTGCATAACTTGTCTGGAAATCTTCTAAGGACCACTTCTCCAAACAGGTTGGTTATATTTCAGAACAGAGGCCATCATGAGTCATACCTGCTGAGAGAGTCGAAGAAAACCAATTGCAAGTGTAACCAACAATACTGTTGGCATTGCAATTGGTATTGATTCCTCTCCAGATAGCACACATAGCAGAATGGGAAACTTAAATTTTCTGATGATTAAATGGAAGAAAACATGAAAGAAAAGTTTGTGTTTCAACTCACTCCACCATTAGCAAGAGCTATTGCCATCCCTGCTGCAGCTTCCATCATCCATGACAAAGGATTCCACATGAAACTAAGAAATTTTAAGAATTTGTTTTCCTGCAGGTCAAAACATGTAATTTGTATTTGGAGATTGTAATTGGTAGATAATTTATCAATAAGCATGCTATACATCTATGCTACATCGAACTCCATTATTCAATTGACTATCAGAAGAGACAACAGGCTTCAAATAAAGATTTATAACTCAAATCGACATTGGCATCAATGGGAAAAACTTTATGAGAACCAACTGGTTACCTGTAATTTTTATCAGAAAAAATCACTATCTTTTACTCGGTCTCTCATTCTCCCGTCATTGTATTACTAGAGTAAGTTTATCCCAGGCATCTCAGGAAGACTTCCTTGGATAATTAGAAGGTCTCAAGTTCAAGAAACTTTATAAATATTATACAGGATGACTATTTCTTGAAAACAATCACATTCTAGTAATTGAACAAGTGAGAAACTGTATCCCATATCCTCAACAAGCAGATTTGAGACTCTGTGCTGCACTAAATATGAAATCTATTCTTTATCTTCCGGTTTCAGTAAAAATCTTTTAGACAAATATGAATGATGGTGGAATCCTGCACTCTGGCTTTGACATCCTGCATCTCAACCTTTTTTTTTTTTTATGAGAACTCACTGGATTCTCTTCAACCTTGTTTGAGCCAAATGTTTTTAAGCGTATCTCCACATCTTCCAATGATAGTCCTGCTTTTGACGTTTTTAGTTGTTCAAAAACTTGTTCTAGTGGCAAGCGCTCCTGTTGAGACCATAAATGCATGGTTTAGTTGCTATTGTGGGGACTGAGAAGAAGCTACAGGGACGTTCATGTATTGAACGTCTTACCAGATCAATCCCCTCTCGGTTGAAATTTTCAGGACCTAATATTGGTTTCTCCAGATCTTCAGCCATCTTCCAAGTTTCAAAACCTGAAATTTGGAAGAATGAGACTAATTTTGAAAGAAGAATAGGGGGCAATATAGACAAGACAAACATGGAATTTTATCATTGCAGATAGAGACAATGCTTTAACAAATTAACTGTTGTACCACCTCGCCTTTGGCTTTTCTAATAAGATGGTTTAACATAGTAGTAGGGCATACTTGAGTTCAGGTGGCAACACTGCCCAATTATGGAAAATACACTTGTTGAACCTTTGATGAAAAAAATATTCTAGCCTACATGTGACAAGAATTGCTCAAGATCTACAAATAAAGAAAATTAGGTTCTTTTCTAATAGCTTAAGCTAGGAGGTGATGTGGTTTAACATAAACTAGTATTTGCCTTCCTGTAATTTTTCATCACCAATTTATCTACATACTCCAGAAAACCACCAAGAGGCCGAAAAAAGAAAAAGAAATAACTCATTCATATTGGAAATCAATGTTAAGTTTATGAGCTTTAGGATAATTGTAGAGACAGAGAAGATATCATAGGAGAGGCAAAGGTGATCCATTTCATCAGAAGGAAAAAATAAACCCCAAGTATTGCTTTCTTTTTTCAGGAGAGAAGTACATATATCGCTTAAAAACATCTAACTCCCCATTTTTGAACTATAATATAACAGAGCAAAGCAATTGGCATTTTGACAACGTTCAAGAAAATTTGAGGCTATTGCATCGAAAAAGAAGTTTGAACTAAATTTCAAAGACACGGGCATAAAGATACCAAGATATTTCGTCGGAGGAATATAAAGTTTATGAACGCTCTATTGTCAAGCCATCAATTTCTCATAATCGGGCGAGCTGTGAAATAAATACATTGGAATGATAACACAATCCGACCTCTCGCTTCAACTTAAAAGCACAAAATGCGTAAAAAAAAAATAAAATCCAAAACGTTATTATTGTAAGCACATCTCTAAGTGCCCCGATTAACACATAATTAAAAAAGTAACAGTAACATTCATCACTGGAAACTATAAATTCACTTACTTGTACACTAACTCGTGATTAATCCTTCTCAACTTCGAGCGAATTAAAGGGTGCCCAGGTTCCGAAACTCCTACAATTAAGGAAAGGAAGATGAAGATCACGGTTCTGATTATAATGGTAGCATTTAGGAGTTCGACTACTGGTTACGAACCACTCAGGTGGGTTCAGTGCTTGACTATTGGATGGCAATGAAAATTCAATTCGTGATATTTCCATTGCTTTGATTGATTGGGTTGAGAACGGAGGAATTGGAGATGAAGAAAGTTGTTGTTAACTGAGTTTCAAACCCAGCAGTCTTACAAGGATCCGTCCTTACTGCGATTCTCTTCTCCCGCCACCGAACCGAAGTTTTAAATTGGATTGCATTGATGTTGGGCCGGGGAGTGAAATTGAGAAATTATAATAATTCAG